TTCCTTATGAGCCGTCTCATATGCAAGAGATAAAAACAAATACAAAGCCAAAATAGTGTAGTATATCTTGAAAAAAGGAAGTTGAAATGTAAAACTTGATTGCAAACTCACATTTAAAAGAGCTAGAACCTGCTCTGGTATAGAGGGCGTACAGCGGTTTTGATCCCCGCTTACAGGATATGGAATGACTTTCCTTCGTGTACTTCCTCCTTCCGTAATATCAGAGATACTCAAATAAAAAGAGACAGCCAATAGTGTTCTCTGCGTAAAACTTAGAATAAAATATATGAATAAAAGTGAATACTCACAAGACAGGAGCAGGTCAACTGCTCCTGATAGTGCGCGTTGGTGGAATAATCCCCACCTAGGATTACTTGAAGTCCAGCGAGTAAAAAGCAATGATGCCAGGTAACAGTAATAAATATATGTGTATAAAAAGATAAATGGTACGATAAAAGATTACCAAATATGCTTTAATATTTAAAATTACACAATATAAAAACCATAAACGCGTTTCGCCAATCGGCGTTATCAATATGGGTAAAGAACCTGATACCTGGCAGTGGATCCTTTAAATAACATGTATAGACATTCAAAAATTGGCGCCAAAATTTGGGCAGCCAATCAGGATTCGAGTAAAAAATATATTTGTTAAAACAAGGTTAAAATAAATAAGGTAGATTACATATGAAACAAGGTAAGAATAACTACTATAAAAATATAATTTTTAATTAAAAACAAACAGTTTAATCATAGAATAGATGTTGTGATGCACGGTCACATGACCGGCATCACGACCAAAGGGGGTGATGGGACTTGTAGTATGACGCCGGCAGGCACTGCGCAGCCGCCGGCGTCATGAAGGAGGGCGGGCAACTGGCGTCAGTGCACAGGAGACGTGCGGCTGACGCCAGTGGGTGTGAAAGTCGGCGTCAGCTCGCACGGGTTGCGGCTGACGTCGGGAAAGGGGGCAGGCATACTGATGACGGCGGCACGCACAAAGCTGCGGCCGTCGTCATCAGGAAGGGAAATATGAATAGACGACGGCTAGCACGAAGCTGTAGCCATCGTCATGGAGATATAGTAAACACGTCGGCAATCTGCAGCCGACAGGGGTGGAAAAAATAAAGGAAAGTATACAAATAAAATCAGTACCATGCCTGGTCCACTAAATAGTGAGAGCAGGCATGGTGACTGAAAGAGTAATAAAACCAATTAATAAAAAAGGTAATATGTAAAATAATAAATAAAATTCAAATAAAAACATAATAAAAGAGTAAGCACATATTTATAAAAAGTTAAACAAATCAAAATCAACATTTAAACCATAAGGTGCAAGAGTTTGAAGTTTATAAACCCACTCCATTTCTTTTTTGCCTAAAATATTTTTGATATTTCCACCCCTCCATGGAGCCGTACATTTTCCTAT